CATTGAGAGCACCCTGTGAACCACTCTAAAATGAGTGTTACCTACAGTACATCACTGCCTATCAAGTATGCTCAGGGAGACAAGTAATGCTGATAGTTTCATTTGACTTAGCACGCTGCTGGAAGAAAAGTGTGATCGGTGTGCACCCCAAAAGATGGGCTGACCTTCTGTCCATAGACACGGGAAGATGTCCTTTGGTTTTCACAGCAACTTCATGGCATTAAGGATTTCTTCACTAGAGGTAAACATGTGCTGTTTGCACTGAAACAGAGTGAAGGCTGCTGAGGCAGTCAGACACCAAAACACCAGGGAGATATTATAATAATTGCCAAATCAACAGTACAGAGCTGGGGAGCTGTGCCCTCATTGCACTGCTCCAGGCAGGGTGCCCTGAGGTTACAGCCCAGGAGCAAACAGGGATGGACTTTTAGAAAAACCTCCTCAGACCATTTCTCTACCTCACTCTTGCCATGACATCACTGTGCACTTGTATTAATCCTGTCACTGGCCTGCTGAAGGCACACTTGACTAATGAGAGCGGGTAAAGGAGGAGAACTGACTGGAATTGCTGCCCAATGAAGAGCATTGCTGTTTTTCTTCAGGATACCTTCTTTTCTGCTCTTCTCTCCCCACAACTGAAATGAGCGAGGGAACTTGACTGAGTGAATGGATCTGGGTTTGCAGCTGCTTTGCCGGAGCAGCCCAGAGCAGCAGCAGGCCTGTGGTTTGTAACCAGAGGTTGGGCTGTGCAAGAGGAAGGGGCCACTCCTCCTTTCTCTGCCTACCAAGACCTCCCTTTGCATGCCTGAACTTGCTGGAGCGGAGTCTGTGTAGAAGGGCACAGAGGTATTCACAGGAGTCTGTCACTGACTTAAACACAAAGCATTTCTTCACATATTCCAGTGTAGCACAGGACTCCATGGAAAAGCTTTGAGAGAATCTCATTCCTCATTGATACAATTACCTGGGATAAAAAAAAAAAGACCGAGAGGGATTGTCTAGTCTTTTAAAGGCTCAGCTTCTAAAAATGTCCTAATTTTTCAACAGATTATCTGTCTTGCTTGGAAACCCCTGTAAAACACTGCCTTGCCCTCAACGGATAAATCATGCAAGTTTGGGTGAATGTGCAATTCACAGAAAATGAGGTGCCTGATCTGCAGAATTACCTGAGGACTGCTAAGTATGATTCTTGCCTGGCCCCAGGGGATGGCCACCAGGAGAAAAGTGAAGCTCCACACGATATGTTTTGTTCAGCCAGCTCAGCCCCAGTTACCAGAAGTGCCCTTACCTCACCACCACATGCTGTGCACCTCCTCCCAGAGCTTCCCCAAGTCCCTGTTTCAGCCCACACACAGGTGGAGTGGGAGGAAGGTGTCAGTGCCCAGGCAGACTGGGAGTGTGTGGTCCTAGGCAAAGTCAGTGATGCCATTAATTTATGAGTAGAGATAGCAGCTGCTGTTGCAAAGATAAATAGGGAACTTAAAGGGGGGGAAAAAAAAAAGAAAAAAAAAGGCAAGGCTGCTTTGACCCTCTCGGTTTTGGAGCTCTACTGACAATTTGCCTTAGAACTTTTTGCAGGGCTGTCTGTTAAGAAAATGTGCAGATCCACTGTCTTACCTGCTGGCAAGTGACTTCAGGCCCACCTTTCCCTTCGTGTATGCTGCTTTGTGCATTGTGTGCAAAGCAAGGCAACACAAGGTGAGAGCAAATAAAGGTGAAGTGGCTGAGAGGGGCAGAGAAATGGGGAACGCAGGGGAAAGAGAATGGCTTTGGAGTTTCTGATCACCAGGATGTATCCGAAGGTTTCCAACAGTTTGGTGCTGCTTCTCTAGAGCTTTGCTAGGTCTTTGGCTGCCTTTTACTGTCAAAGGTCTCTGCAGGACATCAAATGTTTTCTGTCCCAGAGGCAACCTCCTCTCCCGTACTGTGGAGCTGTGTGTGCCACAAACACACCAAGCTCTCCGTGGCTGGGGAAATTCTGAGCCAAGGCTTGGGCAAAGAGTGAAGGAAACAGGGTCATGGGAGACTGTTGAGCTCTCCTGCTTGCTGACTCTCAGAGCAAACAAGAAACACTCACCTCTCAGTTCTAATGAGCCCTCCTGTGTGGGGCACCTGCAGCACAGGCACAGTTTGGATGAAGCGTTTTTTTGCACAGGGAACAGGAAGTCATCCCTTTCATTGGTTCAGTGTTGGCACATGCCACGGGCTTGCAGTGACAGAGAGATAGATGTGTCTGCACAGCAAGGGAGTGGGTGGCATTCAGAGGGGTGAGAAGAGGAGGGATTTTTTTTTTTCTAGAAAATTTGTTAAAAATTATTTCCACGGTGAATACCTTCTCCATAGACTGGTTACAGAGAGCCTTCGGCACAGAAACAGGACAGAACTGAATTTTCATTTTTGCTTTGCAGTTCACCTTTAAAATGAAAGGGGACTTTTGTGAGGCTGAATGACTCTCCATGGACTTCGGTTCCTTCAGGCTTGCAGCATTCAGGTTGCAGTTTCAAGGGTTGCAGGGCCTTTTAAGGATAGACATGACATCAGCAGGAGTTTCCAACCCCTGCACATGTACTGCCGAGAAGGTTTTTGTTCTCCTTTTGGTTGCGAAGGAGACTCTTAGGGGCAAGGTATGAAGAACCTCATGCAACTCATGATGCGATGTCACCCTGACATTTACTGTACGCCTACTCTTCCCCTATAGCTCAAAAGAAAATAGAAAATGGTCTTTTTCAGGCTCCACAATCCCAAAGTTTGACTGGCTGTTTGACTGGCTGCTCTTTTGTTGGCTGCTCTCCAACAATAGTCTAAGCTGAGCTGATGTGGTCGAGGGGAAAAAACACACATACACACAAATGCACACAGACATGCAGGAGAAGGAACGTCAAGAATCACAGCCTGAAGTGGGTTGCTTTTAAGGTGAACAGAAGGAAATGCTTTTTCACACACCATGTAATAAAACTGTGCAACTCTTTACCACACGACATTGAGTAGCAGTTGAACTGCGGATGTCAAGAAATCCCTAAATTTCAGGCTGCCAGGGGTTGGTAACACGTGGCAGTTCTTACCCCATGTGGTGTGGAAGAACTAGTTTTTCTGCCTTTTTGCTGCCAGTTTCTGGCTGACAGAGGTCAAAGCAGGCTTGGTTGCTCAGAATCTGCAACGCATTATAAGGGGAAGTACAGGTAGTGTGTGTGTGGGGAATTTGAATCTTTCCCACTGGAAGATCAATGAAGTGGCTGAGTGGAGGGAAACCAGTTAAATCAGAAGTTGCTAATTTAATTGTATTCTATTTTATTTAATTAGATATTAATTAATATTAAACCATTCTACAGTGTTGCCAGGACCCCCACAGCATTTTTCAGTGTGTTTCCTACAGACTTCATGTAGAGTGTGCAAAGTGGGACAGGGGTAGGTGTGCTGCAGGGCAGGGGGGAGGCTTCTTTCATAGAATCTTAGAGACTGTAAGGTGTGAGCAGCACCAGCTTGACTTTGCTGAGGGGGGTGGCAGTTCTTAGGCTCACCTTTGTCAAGCTTTCAGTTCATGCATCAGGCAGAGGCTTTGCACGTAGGCTCTCACCTCTGCCAGTGGTGATGCTGCGCTGTCCCCATCAGTGACACACCGCCTGGCAGGACTTTCCTGCTTCCCCTCTCCGACATGTTTACTGAGATGTGTTCTGCAGGGAAGGAGGAAGGAATCTGAACCTTTTCTGTCCTGAAGCCAGCTATTTGCTTGTTTTCCTGCTCTCATTGGTGTAGTGGAATAGATTAGTGTCCCGCTTCCAGCACTGGAGATGAGTGCTAAGGTAACGAGGCTGAGGCAAGCAGGGAAATTGTAAAGTGACCCGACCTTCTGGACTAACACAGCAGGGTGCACATCATCCCCAGGGTTGCACAAACTCAGGTGAAAGCTCAGCCATCTGCCTTGTTGCAGCACAGGACTGTGCATTAATGCTGGACCACCTTTCAGCAGCAGCAAGAGCTCTTTGGTAGGCTGCTCTCTCCCAAGTCCTGGCCCCTATGAGCATTTACCCACTGGAAAGGGGAAGGAATGGGAAAGCAAGGCTGCTCATGGGAGTGAAGAGCATAACAGTCATAGTGCTCAGTAGGGGGATTACTGCTAATGATGTGGTCAAAGTTCACAGAACTTCACAGAATATTCTGAGTTGGAAGGGACCCACAAGTGTCTGAAGCGAATGGCCCATACAGGGATCAAATCCACAGCCTTGGTGCTATTAGCACCATGCTCTAACCAACTGAGCTAATCTCAGGGTCGGTTATACCTTATTCCACCCTTGCAAGGGTCTCAGCTTGTTGTTGTAGGCACATGCCTGCACTCTAGGTATGGCAGTGGCACGGTCGCTGGGCAGGAGTTGGGGAAGTTCTGTGCTGGTTTCCACGTTACTCCAAGGGAGGCCCATGGACCCTCAAAAATATAGACTTGTTTAGCTAGACTAGGCAAAATTGTTCATTTGCTAATACTAGGAGGCTGATGACAGCGTGGCCGTAAACTCTGTTTGTCATTGTAGGGTTGCTTCTAGTTTCTGGGATCTTGAAAATTTGGGGTTTTCTTCTTTCTCAAAAAAACAAAAACAAAACAAGAACACAAAAACAAACAAACAAAACGAACAAACAAACAAGAACTTCCAATAAAATCCTAATCCCCCAAAGCTAATAGTCCATAGTGACCCTGTCAGGCATGCGGCGAACAGAGGTTTTTCGAACACTGTGCTCTGAGAAGGGAGAGCAGAGGAGGTAGAAGTTTGTGCATATGTGTTTCTATCCCTTTACATGAATAATGGCAACTCGTGACACTGAGGTGTGTTTTTTTTTTTTTAAGGGGGAAAGAATAATTCCCCTTCAGGCAGGTCACACTCCTCCTGCCTTTGCCTTTAGCAGTCCATGCAGCAGTCCTTGTGTGCCCACCAGCTCAGGATCCTAAGCAGGACTGGAGCATGATGTAAAAGGCAATGCCAAGGCAGGCCTGCCCTCGGTGCAGAGCTGGAGCTGGAAACAGCTCGGTGGGTGCAGACAGAGCCGAAAGAGGTGAGCTCTGGGTGGGAGGTCATGGCACAAGGCCATACCACTGTCTCACTGATTTTTGTTTGGCCCTCGCCTGCAGGCCAAGCGCGGGAGAGAAGAGTAGTCAAAAGCAAGGTGGGGGAAATGGTCAGCCTGCCTTGTTGCCGTCAAATTCCCCGCTCAGAAAGCCTCCAGAATTACCGGGCCTACTGGCAGAAGAACGTGACGGACGTGGTGCTGGCCTACTCCGACGGGGAGAGGATCAGGATTCATGAGCGGTACAGGAACCGCACAGAGATGGACCCCTGGGACCTCATCCTGTGGATCTCCCCCGTGGAAATCCTGGACAATGGCACTTACCAGTGCGTCGTTCAGCACAACTCAGTTGTTGCGTGTGATGAGCGTGTCACCCTCCTTGTTACAGGTAGGTGGATTGTCTCCTGACACCTGAGGCCCTCCAGTGCCAACTGCTGGGGACAAAGGACACTCCTCCAAGCTTTATCATAGTGGGGCAGATAGACTTCCATCAGGAAGCTTAAAAGTGTGATGGAAGATGTGTTAAGTATTTCCATTCTAGCAGCCTCCCTATTTACCTTTCCAGAGGTACCCCAGGTACAGAGAATTTGCCTTTACCACCGCCAGCCCAACCTCCTCCCCTTGATGCCTCCCTGTTGTGACAGGACCCCTCCCCAGGTACCACTGCTAGAGGGTCCCCTAGGCAGCCCCTGATGTCTTTTGGGCAAAGTCAGACCAAGCCCTTGGTGCATGCCAAGCATCCAAGGTAAAAGAGGAAGGGGGTGGCCACAGCAGCATTCCAGCCTTGCATCCAAACCCCTGGGAAGTCCAGACTCTCTGGGGGCTGGCCAGCTCACTTGGCTGCACGGCAGCCTAAGGTTGAACTCAGGTGGAGATTTGAGGCTTTTTACCTTAAGGAAACCAAGTTTTTTGCTCAAAATGAATCTGAATCTTCTCTTAGAGGCCACAAAAAGTTTCCACTGACATTATTTTCCATTTCCACCACTGTTTTTGTAGCAGTTGGTCTCAACTGGAGACAGAGATACTGGTGACATATATAAATATATACATACATTTGAATACCTTTAACAGCAGAGAGTTGCAGGAATCTCCCAGACAAGTCAGTGAAGGAGCATTCCCCATCTGGAAAGAGATTCATCAACAAAATTAAAAAACAAACCAGCTCCTGAGGCTTGGCCATTGCCTGCTTGTCTGAGGGCATGGTGGGCATATGTGCAAGGAGACAAAATTAGTGATCTTTCTGGGAACTGATATGAAAAAAGGGAAGTACGCTGCCAGCACCTTCTCTAACCCTGAGGGCTGAGGACTTATCTGCACGAAAAATGTAAAACTACGGATCTCTTTTCCTGCCCACAAATACTCCAGTTTCTTTCCTTCCAGAAATCCCCTTGCTGTCTTAACAGACCAGCTGTAATAATTGTGATAGACTTCTGCTCCCTTTGGTAAAGTGGGATGGGTTATTTTGGGGATCAGGAAAGGGAAATTTTCCCTCATCCCTGCTGGAAGCAGGCCGGGATGTCTGATCACCCTGGCTGTGATCTGACAGAATGGTAACTGCATCTCTTTTGCTTCAGCCGACTTCAGTGAGCCGAGCATAACAACAGAAGTGTCCGCGAGTTCTTGCGAATCGACTGAGGTGGTGATAGTGTGCTCTTCTCACGGAGGTTTCCCCAAACCCAAAATCTCTGGAGCCCTCAACGATGTGTCTGTGGAGTGGAATGCCAGCTGGGTGTCCGAGTCCAGCCTCAGCCTGTACAACATCACTGGCACGCTGGTGCTCAACGTGACCAGCGATGTCAACATAACCTGCTCCGTTGAACATGACGGCTTGGCCAAGTCCAGCAGTTTGCTTCTGAGTATGTCTTGTTAACAGTTTTTGTTACAAAACCGTTCTGTGTAACTGTTCACGCAAGGATGGCACAACAATCCCACCTGTGGTCTGTGCCCCAAAATATGTCAAAGGCTGTAAGGCAGCAGGGGTGGGAAGGGAGGGTTACAACAGTGACTTGCAAGCAGTGATAGCTTTGCCTTCCTGCTGCTCTGCTGTCACAGCTGGGCTGAGAGAGCAGTTGGTTCCTGGTGTAATCTGGTCATACCAGGCTCAGTTGCTCCGGCAGGTCAGGGTTGCCATCATCCAGTGCTCCCCTGCTGCCAGCTGCATGACACAGACCTGGTGCTTGAATGGTATTTGTGCTTTAAAAGCCACAAGTTGCACTTAAAAATAATTTCCTCACTTAACAGGCGTGTTTGTCCCTGCTTCGGTGAAAGAAACTGTTCAACTAGGGTCTAGACAAAATTCTGCTTTCATATATCATATAGGGTTAACTCATATGAAAAGAATTCCATCGCTGAGCCTGGCTTAGAAGTGATGGCATAATAGATAAGTCTGTGCTTTGAAAAGCTTGGGGCACAAGTGGAAACAGCATGAGGGAAGGCAGCACACAACGGTCCAGAGGTTTTGCAGTAGAAGGGGATTTGCCAGAAAGTTCTTAAAGCCAAAAAGATTTTTTTTTTCAATGTTGCTACTGAAAAAAGTATTCTGAAATGTCTGTGGGTCTGATGTTTTTACTGTAGAGATAAGGGCACCTTCAAGGGAAGATAGAGAAGTGCTATTTTTCCTAGGGAATTGTACCTTATTCATCAAGGTAGCTTATTCCTCTACCTTGACTAAAATCAAAGGGGCTTGTGGGGAGAGGTGCCATTCAGCTTCAGAACGAATGCCAGGAACTAGTGCTTTATGAATACTGGTTATTGCTGGATGTAGTGCACAATGTCCCTAGAGATGCTAATGGAAGAAGGTTATGAATATCATGCTGCATAGAAAAGGAGAGCAACGAAAAAAAGCAATAATAGCAATACACTGTTGTCACACAGATTCTCAGAGGGGGGTGCAATCAACAGTGACACAGTCACAGCAGTCACAAACCCCCCGCTTTTTGATTTTTAAGATACGGAACCACTCCTATTTTGGTATGATGTAAATGGTCCTTTAGACAAGTCTTTCATGAACACAGGGTTCCAGACAGAATACAGCCTCTGGTAAACACAGAAGGCAAACCCCACAGTTGGGGGGTAAAGATTGTACAGCAAGTCAGGCCAGTGTCTTAGAAGTGGAATGATGCTCAACTCTGCCAGATACAGATGATGAAAAACTGAGGATCTGTGCACGCAGCTCCGGAGACCCATAGACGTGCAGGAAGCCTGTCCCTCCTGCTGAATTAGGGCTGTCCTGTAGTGTACAGGAATGGCCTGGTGTCTGCTCTTATATCCCAGTGGTAGAGTGGTCATCTCCAGTGATGAAAAGCCAAAGGCTCTGGATCCACTGAAAGTGAACTCTGCCACAACACTGTTTTCCTGCCACACAGAAAAAACAAGTCTATTCTAGCCTGTTTAATGCAACATTCTCCTTCACCTCTGAATCCAAAGGGAAAAGAATTAGGCATAAATCTGATTAAAACAGTATGGAAAACTGCAGGGCAGCATTGAAAATGGAAATTTTCTAGCTGTGTATTCAGACTTTTTCACCAAACCTAAATGATTTCTTTAAAACAGCTTATGTGGTTTTAAATATTGTCTGTCTCAGTTCTGTTCTGGACAAAACCCCAGCGTTTCACGCTCTGTGGATATGTTAAAAATTTCAGCACAGAGCAAATGCGGCAAAGTGGAAGAAATTAAGGTGCCAGCTTCTCTAGGTAGTTTATTGAATAGGTCCATTTTCAGGCTGAAAACCTGAGTTAGAACTTAGCCAGAACCACCAAAATTCATGTACCTGCTCTTACATGAAAATGACAAGTTGTTGTGTCCTTTATTTTTTATTTCTCCTGTTTCAGAGAAAACAAATGACTGTGTTGTTCCTCCTGTGCCTCCATCTTATCATGTCCTTATTGCTTCAAGTATCGTTGTTATCATCTTCATTTTGGCAATCATCCTAGCAGCAAGATACCTCCCAAGGCGTGGTAAGCGTAACTCCTTTTTCAAGAAACTGTCTCTTACTGCTTATGTTTCTATTAAGATACACATTTATAGAAACTATACTGCCCCGTTAGGTATTTCTGTACCTTCTTCTTATTTCCTCTTTTTTCCTTTCAGCATCCACTGTCACAAGTCTAAGTCTAGCTCGTGGCTTTGCTACATTTTGTGTGCAGGCAGCATTAGGGTTCAGGTTTGAGAGGGAAAGGGTGATGGGGAGTTTTGCCACCAGATCAGAATATTTCTAAGATCAGGGGTATACAGAAATGAAGACATTCACAAAGGTTCATTTTTGTGTATTAAGATATGACCTGAGATGCCTTAAGATGCCAAGGATTTTGGTGATCGTGATAGATATGGCTGAGCACTGAGAGTTTCAAAATTGGATCTCTCTCCTCACCCTACTTAGACAATCCCTCAGATAGTCACTGAGCCAAAGTAACAAAAATAGATAGTGTTAGGGCCACAGAAAACACTTAAGCATAGCAGCGCCCCACTTTTAGAAGAGTTGGATTTGTATTCTTTGTATGGCCAAAAATGGCACAGGTGAGGTGCCTGGTCCCACCCTATGAAGTCTTCAGTAACTCCAGACATGTCTCCAGGAGCTTTCCAATGTCAAAAAGGATCTCAAACATCTCAGGGTTAGCTGGCAGCTAAGTAGATTTTTTTTTTTCCCCCTCAAAAAATCTCATCTGTTAGCTGTTGCTCCTAATCATGTCTAAGCTGACCTCACCAGAAAGCCCCCGAAGATGTAGGTAGACATCTAATGGATTTATAAAGGCTGCTAGGACTGAAAGTCAACAGCAGTGGATGTCTTATCCACACCCTGTTAGCAGCTTTGCAAAGCAGTCACGGAGAATGACAGCAGGCCTTGCAATGTGTTATAAATACCACCAAATCAAGTTTTCAGGCCACTGGGGAAGCCATGTGTGGGGACAAGAATCCCACTCTGACAGGGCTCTGTGCTCAGGCCACTTAAACCAGGAGCCCCCAGTCCGTGCACCTCAGCCCATCACGGTCACTGCGGCATCCCCCTTTGGAAAAGGCTATTTGCTGGACAGCAAGGACTCAGTTTGCTTACAGACACTCATAAGTTTGTCATGCTTGTGTCTTCTGGTATCCCTGCTCAGACAAGTTCACTCCCAAGTCAGAGGTGTGGAGGTTGCATTACTATTTTTCTTTTCCCCTCCTTGTTGACAACATCCCTTCAAAAACCAGCGTGACCATTGAGTCAGGCTGGGCTAATTTCTTTTTAGTGCTTCATCACAAAGAAAGGAAGCTCCTGGAAGGCAGTGACTCTTGACCTGTGCACCTCCTCATTTTCCACTTCTTTGCCCCTATGACACCAGTGCTGGCTGTCCCCTGCTGTTCCCTGGGGCTGTCAACGGGAAAGCAACGAGCAGGCTGAAGCCTAGAAAATCACATTTGATCACAGCCTGTGCTGTTAGCTGCATGTATAATGCACTTCTAATTACAGGAGAAAATGAACTGGAATTGGAAGATTTGGCTCTAAACAAATATTGGCTGGAAATTAAAAGGTTCCTCACCATTAAATTGGCAAGATTCCGGAGCATTCTGAGATAGGCTTTTCTATAAGAACCAAATTGCTTTTCAAGCAGATGTAAAAAGCATACCCCTGTGGTAGAATGCAATCACCTGCAACAGCATGGCACATGGCTGCACAAACTGGAATTTCCCTTTCAGTCCCATTTTCATAATATGCACAGGGAGTGGATTTGCTGAGTCAGGTGGTGCTATTTGGTACAGCCACTTTCCAGCCCAAGTGCACAGTGTAAGCCAGAGTTTCCATCCAACTTCCCAGTTAGTACAGTTGTCCCATTTCAGTGCTGCTGGGCATTGCCACCTGTCTGGGAAAGGAAATACCTGTCCTAAGAGTGCTTCCTGCTGGTGCTGCAGCGGGTCACCTTCCAAGAGCTCTTGCGGGAGCTCAGAGTACATCTGAGAGTACCTCTGTTGCTCTGGCCGATGGAAAGCTGAGTCAGGAGTTGCCTTGACGCTAAGAGTGGTTTCTGAGCTCAGAAGGCCATGCTTCAAAGAGCTGAAGTGTGGGAGGGAAGAATAGAAAGACAGAGCGAAACGGAAGTAAGAGTTCTCAGATGCGTGATTGTTGTGGTGACCAAAACATGCAGATGCTTTGTTGAGGTTCACAACCACCCACTCTGAGGACCTCACAGCCTGTCTTTACAGTAATTAGGGAATGAAAACACAAAGCACCAAGATTAGAGGTCACTTAAAGAATGGCTTATGATTCATGATGCGTGATTTGTGCAAGTACAATTGGCTGTAGTAGTAGTGATTCAACCTGAACAGTTAAAACAAAAGTCATTCACAGATGCTGAGACATGTAGTGGACTTGTTTCTTCTGAGCTCCTTTTAAAGCACTGAAAGAATTTGTTGGTTTTAACACTGGCATTCTTTCACTTGATAGAAAAACTGCATTTGGTGATGTGTCGCTTTTGCCTTTATATTGAGCAACCTGTCTTTGTGCGAGGCTGGGGTTCTACACCCGTGCTAATGAGAACTGTTTTATCCATATGACACTATATTGATAATATTTATGTACAACAGAGCTTTCTATCAGATCAGACTATGGCTATGGGCCAAGCATATTAGGATGTACTGCAGGGCTGAGTCCTGCCAAGTTAAAATAGAAGTAACTAGACCTAAATTTCTTCTCTCCTTTCTTCCCACTCTCAGTTACACTTTGTTGAAGAAAACATTTGGAATCATCTTCTCTGACTCCAAATACTAATGAGAGATTTTATTTTTCAGTTTGTCCTCACTGTTGTAGGCCCCAGGACCCAGTGGAAGAGGGTATGAAGGAAGGTACGAAGCCACCTGCGAGCTCTAAAGTGACATCTGAAACATCATCTGTATGACCAGATTGCATTTGCAGGTAGTTTTTTCTTCACCACTCTTCTCTTGGCAAAACAGCTTCTCAAATACCATTAGATTGTCATGCCATGTTAGCTCACAACACCACGTGTGCCTTTTAATTTGTGTCGGCTGCCCTTTAGGGTAAGTAACAGCAATAGGGCCCTATTCCCAACCTGGACTCATTGTGTTTCCTGGTCAGGTAATCAGAGGAATGATGCTAACATTCCCTGTGGGGCATTGCTTTGTTCGGATTATTTCAAATTTCTAGAAGTTAATCTAGTGAAAAATGTTAAAGAACTGAATTTGTTGGGCTGCTAAGCTGCTTTTTCCATAGAATGGGCCCTGTGTGGATGGTGTGGAAGTTTCTTTGGCACTCATTTCGTTAATGAACATAAAATTTCAAGGACTAAATAGGGATGAAGAGAGATAGAGAGATTAAAGAAAAAGAACATTTGAGAGCTTTGACTGTCAGTGTCTGCTCTGGACCTGTGCAGGGATTAATGTCTGAGAAGTGGGCTTGCAGCACAGTTCTCCAGCTATCAGGATCTGCAGGGACATCCCCTGCTACTGTCCTGCTCATTTTGTGGTCTTCCCAACTAAGAAGTGGGCAGTCTCTGAGTCCCTGTCCTTTTGGACTCATTTGTAAGTAGCTCATCACCACTACAGGTCCCACATGTGGCTTCACCCCCTGGAAGTCACTTCTGGCTGATTCCCTGTGAGCCTGACCTGATACATAAACACAGCAATATCACTGATGAGGACTGACTAAATGGTGGTGAGGGAGGGGTGAACAAGAGAGCAACTCCAGCTTTCCCAGTAAGGTGGCTTTCCCAGCAATGTTAGTCCACTTCTGAGATATTTCCATTCCCTTAGCAGCTGGAGGAGTGGAAAAGTTTCCTCCCTAAGACTTGCCTAGGAAACACTCATGTGTTAAAAGGAGTTACTTTCAACAGTGAGGTGTTGCAAAAGAAGGGCTGGGGAAGAATCTGGCTTGCAAAAAATTTTATGATTACAAAGCATGATATTGGCTTTGGCCTGAAAGCTCAGCTATGTTCAGGGCTGTATCCTGCAAAAAGACATTTTTAAGTGAAGTGACTGAAGGAGAGATTAGCAGTTAACTGTTCTTATTCGCATCATTATCCAGGTGACTGCATGTCCTGCTCTCACCGCAGCAGCACGTGGAATTGCCTCAGTAATGCCTCAGAGCAACAGCTGTGGGGTCCTACAAGGCATGAATTTGTCACGCTGTGTGCTGCAGTGATCTAAAAGCCTGATAGTTTTGAGGTGGAAAGGAGGGGAAACTCTCATTCAGGCCACTCATCTCATTTCCAAACCTGAACAGCCACTCATGTTTTCCTCTTGGAAAGGCCCAGTCTGGGACAGATACTAGAGCCTTGGTTAGCATGAATTTTGGGGAGTTTTGTGATGGCAGTGGCAGGAGTTCACCTACTGAATAAACCACTTTCCTATTTTTTGTTACAAAAGTTTGCCAGGGTTTCCCGTAGGTGGTGTTTCCCAGCTCCAGTGCCTGGGACAGCTGCTGTCTGTGGGCAGGGATGGAAGCTGTGCCTCCTTAGTGGCCGGCTGCCCTCTCGGGAACTGCACAGTGCACTGAGCCCCGCCCTGCTGCTGTTTGAATGGGGAGCGCATTCACTAGCCATCCTGGCTCCGCAAAGGGATAGCATCCCTGTGCACTCCAAAGGTGTCGCAGCAAGCACCGAGCCAGACCGTGGCTCACAGTCCCGCCTCTCCGAGCAGCTCCGATTTTATGGAACAGGAGCCCTCTTGTGGAGGACCATCGCAGGTGTATACCCCTCTGTCGGCTCTGCGACATCGTCCGGTTGACATTTAGGACGAAGAAAGGGCGGAAAAAAGTCATTAAATATTTTTTTTCTTTGAACCCCTCAGGTTTCTTATCCTGCGCATTCCGCACTGCAAGACTCCCCTGTTCGTTGTGCAGCAATGCTTATGGCGTTGACCCTCTGGCTCTCTGCAAGGGGATTGGCAGCAGCAGAAAACTCTGCTCAAGACGACTGACAGAATAATCTCTCGTGAATGAAGACAAACAGCAGCTGTGGGGTGGTCTCGTTACAACGGGGTCACTGGAACCCCCTCCTGGGAGGCCCCTCTGTGCTCCCGCAACAGGGCAGAAGAAGAACATCGTCACCTTCGAGGCTTTGGGAACCTGTGGCTTTGACACTGCTTCTGTGGGAACCAGGGGCCTGCAGAGGCCTGGCAGGCAGTCCATGCCCACCCACCCATTTAGCAGCGCAGAGCTGCCCTTTGGGACCCCCCAGACCCAGACACACAAGCTCAAGTCAGGCTGTGCCTCTGTGTTGCAACTGGGAGAAGCTAAAACTTCTTTTATGTTCAGCCTCACGAGACCATCTGCTCTTCATGCTGGAGGACTTCGGATTTGGACCTGACCATGGCAGATGTATGTCCCCTCCCCGCTAAAGAGGCAATAATGCACATTTTTTCATGAAAAAAAAACTTCACCTTGGAAGTGAGTCTATCTGCCTCATGCTTATTTGCAGTGCTATGAGACTTTTTAGGGGACGATACACACTGACAGCACAGCTAACAGCCAACTAATATTCCTTATCCACAGCAGTGGCACAAGTTCTCATAGCCTTTTTCTCCTGACAGGCTGACCTTGCCAACACAGCCACTCCATTAAATTGCTGTGTGAGGGCCCACGTGTGCACACCTTTGTGCATGCAAATGTACAAGCTTTTATGTGCATCCCTTCCTACCCACACCTGCAAAGCCCCACTGAAATTTGTGTTAAAGTCAGTGGTCATCTCACATATCTACTGTAATGAAACGTAACTCAGGGCCTTGCTTCATAAACATAGGTCTGCTTGTGCTTGTACACCTGCCTAGGGATACTTGTTGGGGTAGGCTCTGCAGATTCTTGGGAGTCTCTCACAGCAACCTAAGGACTTACTTTGCACTGAATGTTGCTGCTTTCTGCAAGTGTTCTCTCTACCCAGGCAGGACTCGAAGGATTTTCCCTACAGGATGTTAATACTGGATAGGGCTCATCTGATCTGGGTGATATCCTTGCCTACTGTGTAGGAAAATGTGGTTTCTCATTTTGAGGGGAAAGGAGGAAAAAGCCCCAATAAGCTTCCTAAGCAACTCTGCATACTAACCTAACTCAGCCCTGCCCTGAGTTTTACAGGAATGTTGTTCCCTTTTGCTCCTCAAGCTGTACCCATTCCCTTACTGCTCTATCCATGTTATCAGGGCAGACCTAAGTCTGAAAGCACCATCCCATCCTCCATGTGGGATGTGTTGGTGCCTGAGCTGTTTATCTTCCTAGGACACAGCAAGGACATGTTCCATCCATTTCACTTTTTTTCGAGAAGGTACCTATTGTGAGAGAAACGGCTGGAGAAAACAGGAAGATTAAAAGTGGTTTATGGAGCATTGAGCTATGAGATCAAGTCACTAGTAAAAAATAAGACACTGCTCCCCTTCTACTCCTGCAGTTGTTTTGTCCCATTTTTTTTTTGCCACTTTCTCATTGTACAAAGTTAAATGGGAACTTCAGAACATTCTTACAGAGGAGTTTTTGACAGAGACAAGGAGATAAGGTGGGTGATAAGGAAGCAATACTCTGCTCTTGTGTGTTTTCATTGCAAACAGAACAAAAGTGACAGAAACCAGAGTGTTTCCAAAAGGCAGCCTGACCCTATTGCAGGACTTGGTGTATGGGCAATGGTGTCTCACACTTTTCAGATTTCCTCTTCTTTCAGCCTGTTCTTGTTCCTTCCAGCACAAACTACCAACTTCTTGCAGGCTGACCACCTCTTTTGGCGTTCACTTCCACCTCTGCTCATTTCCAGCACCATCCTTCCCTAGAACCACCATGCAATTCCACCTTACCAGCCACACCACAGCTCTGACAGTTGTACCAGCACATTTTCCCTCTGACTATCCCCTTTTCCACTTCTGCTCCTGACTGATGATTGTGCAGCCTCCTGGAGAAAGGCTTGTCTTTTGCACTGTGACAAACCTTTCTACATCACCACAGACTCCAGTGACACTTCTGATAATTCCTTCTAAAAGAAACCAAGTTTCACTGACAAATTTGTCCACCACCAGGTTATTTTTTACAGTCTTGATGGGCAGGATGTTTATTTTGGTTTATTTTTCCTTAAGCACTAATAGTCTGAGTCATGTTTTCTTATGCTGTATTCAGTGAATTGCACACAAATGGTTTCTGTGAGACCTTCTCAGCTTAATATCTGGGTCATTGTAGCAGGTGAGCTGCTCTGTTTATCATGGGGGGTTTTTATATAACATTTTTTTTTTCCTGGGGTTCCTCCTTTAATTGTATTAAAAAATAAATTGTAAACTCAGTTTCCTTTCCTCAGTAATAAAAGATGTCTATCTATGTGCTGTGAAGCTCTGAATCAATTCCTCACTCCCCATTCGGACAGTGACTGTGAGGGTAAGAAATAAAGAAGTGCAAGGAACTAAATTCTGCAGGAAACTGAGAAACAAATGGCTGCTGATCCTGAGTGCAGCTGGAAGTCTCTGCTTCCCATTGCTACTGTGCAGCATAAGGACACGTAGCAGCCCTCCCTTCCTCCCCTGGAGAAAATCCACACAACTGCTGCACCTTGGCTCTGCCTGCCCTCCCACAGGAGAACGTCCCTACATCAGTGGTCAGGCACAGGCAAATTAGTTTTCTTTAGACATCACGTCAAATACCACCACACAGGAATAGAGACAGCAATGACACAGCTAATGTCACCAGAGCTGCTGCACAGATAAGAGTGAGAGGTATTGGGTGGGGGATGTAATAGCAAAAAAAAAAAACAACACCCACAACAAAACACACACACACACACACACACAAAAAAAAAGAGAGAAAGATAAGACATCGCTGTGTAAGCACAATGGCAAAAAGGTGATTCAGGAAGGCCTGCTATTTTCTGTTTTTGAGGGGGCAAAGGACAACAACACTCAGCAGAGGCTAAAACAGGAAGAAGGAGAGTCATATCCATACTTCTGCTTATTCAGATCCTTCACTTACACACAGAAAAGATCAGAGCTCACTGATGACAACCCTGAAACACAGGTATTTCTCCAATGGAAAAATGAACAACACTGGGATGTTTAAAAAATTAAATGCTCACTTCAGAAGTCAGAAAACACAAAACCTTCTTGAAAGGTTTTTTTTGCTTGAAAGCAAACAGTGCCAAAAATCTGCTTTGGGTGGGTGGAATACGCTCTCTGGGATCGACTGTTCATATTTCAATCAACAGTAATTATCTGTAAAAGCATTCAACCAGAACAGACTTGACTACTCTTTTCCTGTGGGAAATAGACCTGAACCCCCTGCCTGAATGTAATTCCCTTTAGTAGCAGAATAATCTCCAACAAAAAAAAGGAATCAGAATCCTGGCCTTCCCCTTTGAGGGAACAGTGATGGGTCCTCCTGAGCACAGACCACTTTGCACAAACTACAGCCTTACCCACAGATAACAACTATGACTTAGCAGGGGATCTCTGGATCAAAATAACAGACAGACCTGGCCCTCTCCTGGCTCTTGCCTTTATTGCTGGGTAGAGGGAACATCTGATACTGCCACCAGACTTTGTTGCTCACTGGTGGGACCTTAGCTAGAGCTCTTCTCATGGGATGTCATTCAAGGATGCTTCTCTAATGCAAATACTGTTCTAACATGAAGTACACACTGTACTGACATAAAGAGCTAATGGACACAGTCACCACTGCTGTATGGCTTTATTGAGTGCCTTGAACCACATTTCCTCAAAAGGTCATCCCCCAATTTCCAACTTTCAAATGAAATTAGAGGCCTTTTTATTGTTAAAACTGTCCACAGTGCCACCATCACCACCAGAAATAAGTCATCCTTTCTGTGGCCCGCTCAGACTTACATTGAGGAACCCAAAACCTGTCTTTTTCAGGGGCATTTCCATATCATTCCCAGCTCCTCCACCCTTCCTCAACATCGACTGAAAAATACCCCAAGGCCTGAAGAAACCACCGTCAGTAAGTTCTTCAGGTGCTGTCTGAAGACAGCTTTCACCAGAGCACAGTTAACTTTTGGAATCGGGGTACCTTCAGCACACAGACCATTCACAGGTTCCTTTACCTTGAATATTTCTACATTGCTGGTGGTTTGGACACTTTCAGCAGCGAAATGGGTCCTCAGATGAGGCTCTGGAGCTGCCAAACCCAGATGACAATTTCCAGTGTGCAAAGTCGCATTTCCACTTTCTTAGGGTTTAGCCCTTCTGAGCTCCCGTTGCAGTGATGTGCATCCATGAACAATGTTCTCAGCAAAAGGCTTTTCCACAGGGTATGAAAGTGTTCACAGAAGAGTTCCACCATCCCTTGCCTGAAGACTTTAATGAGCAGAATCAAAATGCTTTTTATCTGTAAGACCCCAGTCCCGAAGCCACCAGCTTAACTGGGAATATTACTTTTAAAAAATATACAAGAGTCCAAAAACTTTGCCTAAGTGTTATTTGTTTCTGAGTCTTCACTTCTCATACCTTGAGACAGCCTAAAGAGAGAACGCAGCACATGCTTTCTCAGGAGATAGTTTAAATATGGAAGGAAATAAAGATCTTGGTAAAAGTTTAAAAGGGTTTAAATATTTGCTCTCCTGAACTATCAGTAAAACCACCTCTTGAGGAAAAGTGTGTGGCTTCTTCTCAAGGTATTTAAGAACCTGTCTCAAGGTATTTAAGAACCAAAGGCTCTGCAAAAGTTCACTGGGCAAAACTTTTGGAGTTTTGTGTATTTTTGTTGTGGCTTCGGGACTGGGGTTTTACAGTAGCTTCTTACAACAGAGATCTGGGGAAGACTCAGTAGCTCCTAAAGTCTCCTGCTCAGTCCATCTTCAGCCCTCCCTGGGCGTTGTTTTCAGTTTGGCCTAAGACTTCAGTCACATTGAGCCTGGATTGCCTAAGGAGAGAAGAGAGAGTGCAAAGCCATTTTAAGCCTGTATCCTCCTGACAAAGGCACGACTGCAGACTTCCAGCTCTTGAAAAGTTTATTCTAGAACTGGCACTGTTAGTAAGTCACACAACAAGCGTCATGGTCTTTTTTCCTCCAAAGCCTCATGCTATCCTTCTTTCCTCTCTTTGACAGGGATGGAAAGAAGGCATCAATGAAGGAAAAGCCAGAGTTCTGGCCTCTTTCATGTTCAGTAAAGAAATACTAATGTTCTTGTCCCGCTTGTCTTCCCAGACACTGCAAAAGTGAAAAACTGATGCAGTTATTGGCCAGGGCAGGGCATGAATTTTGAACAGAACACCTCGTTACAAAACAAGCAGCACCATCTAGGGCTGGGAAGACTAAACCAGAAGTTCTTAGACTGGTACGTGAAACACAAGGACAACCAAAAGCAGGAGAACCGAGGAGTCCTGTGGAGTCTTTAAATGTTTGAACCACACAGCTGTTCCTTACCACTCTGCCAGCTTCTGCTCATACAGCTCCCTGCGCTCGCGATTCCTCTTCTCCTGCAAGGTCTCACCAGCCAAGCTGTGCAGTGCTATTAACAGGCCTCCTGCAGGGATCCTACAGGAGGAGGCAGAGAAGTCATGAGTCACCCAGGGGACACACAACAGCAATAACTCAGCCACGCAGTGTTTCTCCCTCAGTGTTTCCCAATGGCTCCTGCTCCATATTTTGGCATTGATGAAGCACATTTTGTAAAAAAAATTATTTTTACAGAGACTCCCTGGCTGCCCCCAGGGTGCCCCCTTCTTCAAAAGGTGTCATCATTACATCTGACTCCCCTTATCTGGATTCAGAGCTGCTACAGGAGCAGTTGCTGTTGAAGCTGAGAAGGGAGCCCAGAAGCTAAATCTTGCACTCCTGCCTTTACCAACAGACTACAGAGTTCCCTAAAACAGATTCTAATGGTTCTGCACACAGACACTGGGCTCATGAGTGACCGTGCCAAGGAAGGGGGGTAGAGACACATCTGTAACCCATTCACACAACTATTGTTAACTATTCAACAATAGCTAGTGTCTCCTCCAATATGCAAATAACAGCAAGTAAGACACTCAGCTGAGAGCACTGAGTTCTTACTACTGAGATAGCAGCAAAACTCAAATGAGAAACAAAGAAAAAAAAAAAAACAACAGTTTAAAGGTTGGAAGAAAAGTGACCATCATGAGGTCCCAAGGGAGATACAGAAAATCCCTCAAGGCAAGAGAGGAAAGGAAGCTTCAGTAGCCGATTCAAGGCTTGGTATGTGCAGCCACAAACATTCTTAAAGAGCAGGTTTAAGTCTCCATCACCCATCAGCAGCAGTGACAACTTACCCAAAGGCTGTTCCAAACACCATGCCGCCTGCCAGTCCCTGCAGGCCCAAGTGCATTCTGAAAAGGGCTCCTGTGAAGCCTAAAAAAAGAACAAACCCACTGAAACCAGAAGCCTCCCCTCCCTGGCCAACATGTAGGGAGCTGCTTTGCTGCATTTCTCTTCTCCATGAGCTGACATCTACTTTTAACAGAGCAGAAACCAAGTGCCATGGCCACTGGGAGGGAACCTCACCACACAGTCACCATGAGCTCCACACTGAAACACTTACAAAGCTCTTCCTGCTTCAGAAAATCTGCCCAAGAAATGCTAAGAAGTATCTATGAAAGTAAAACTAAGCTCTCTCTAGGCTGGAGCACGATCCCTTCCCCCTTTTTTCTGTTCAACAACAGCTAATAATAGTAGCTGCCATGTAAGGCAGAAAAGATTAGTAAAACACATATCCAACTGTAAGGGCAATAAAGCCTGTAAAACTGAACAAGCAGATCACTTACCCAGAGCCCTGTTGCCAAAAGCAGGCATGCAAAATTTAGCATGAAAAGGGCAGCTTATAAACAGGGCACTGAACTGCAGTTACAAGAGAAGAAACACAAAATGCTTTCCCTAATAAATAGGTGGCTTATGAGAGCAGGTTATGCATTAAGTGTTGCCTTGAACTCATACGAGCATTTTTCACCCAAAATCCTCCAGCAAGTATTTTGAAGATGAACTAATAACCACAAATTATAGGGAATGACTCCAAATTCAGCGCCTCTCTTCTGAGGGATTCTGAAGTATTAGAGAGAGCCTGGATTTATCAGGTGTGATAACCTTGCCTCGCCATATATAAAATTTCCATCCGTATCAGTGTCTCCTGTGACCTTTGATTTCAGCAGTGCATCGGTATCCCTGTTACAAAGTCACACAGCAGGTAAACACAAAGTCGCAACACAAAGTCAGTGGAAATAGAAGCAAAACACAAGAGCACAGAAGCCAGAGGTCCACTCAGATCCAAGAGACGTGGATACCTGTTTATGCCTTTCTGCTAAGACCCTTGCTAAGACAAAGAGGAAAGCACACAAGGTTACAGCACTCTCACCTCCTGCCGCAGCAAAATTACTGATGGTGGTTTTATCGCGGTACACAGACAGCCCAGTGCTCACCACGCTGCAAAGGAAAGGCACAGAAGAAGTCAGCAGTTGCACATGGAGAAAGAGAGGCAGCAAAATGCAGCCTGAAATGAAGCTGGATTTTCATTAAGCCAACCCTTAGGTTGCCCCCAACTTCCTGGCTGCCCATCCATTCAGAGCGCACTCACGCCGGCCACAAGCGCTGTGACTTCTGTGGCTTTACTGAAGCAGCTGCACAGACACAGGCCAGGGAATACCAGGGTTCCCAGCTCGGATCTGGGACATTATTTCTTTTTCTTTTTTTTAATCAAAGATTTTTTTTTTTCCATTGCAGAGAACCATAGAATGGTTTGGGTTAGAAGGGACCTTAGAGATCATTTAGTTCCAATCTCCTGCCATGGGCAGGGACACCTTCCACTGGACCAGGTTGCTCAGAGCTCCATCCAGCCTTGCCTTCAACACCTCCAGGGATGGGACATCCACACGGTTGCTTCTCTGGGCAACCTGTTCCAGTGCCTCACTGGAAAACATAATATAGTCAAGGATAAAAGAAACCGAGCAGCGAAAAAGTCCTGTCAGTCAGCCACTCCTGGGGCAGGACCTTTACCCCCAGAAGCTGACCCGTGTGTCAGTAAGATCTTGCCCGATCTTCTTGGGTTTTAACTGTGAAACTTAAAATTTGCACAACCGCGGGACAAAACCTTCAACTGGGGCTCCTACAGACACAATAAATGTTGAGCAGCAAACATCTCCTTTCAGGGCCTTTTCCAAAGGGGTGGCGGTGAAAAGGGGGTTGATCTGACTGCAGGGGGAGACACCTGGTGGAGGATGACGAGGTTACAATGTCAAATCCAAAGAAATCCAGGAAAATCCACAGAAATCAAAAGCGCCTGGAGAGAAAGCAAACTGTACGCTAACTAAACCAAAACCCAGATACTAAACCAAACGAAAAGATCGAGGAAGAAATTCAGAAAGGAATAAAAAATTAGGGAGACAAAACTATCAAATAATGACAGTCAAGACTGCTGGTGTCTCAAAAGCAGAAGGGGACAGAACATACCTGCATATAGAGACAAAGCAGGCTTAAGGACTACACACAAATTTACCATTTTGAATGTCAGGGGAGGAGACATTCCTAGTTTAAAAGGGCTCTACTCAGAAGAGCATTCTTAATTTGATGCTCTGTTGTCAGAAATGCACTGAAACATCCAAGGGAGAAAACCAAGGAAGTGGAACACTGTCTCTGCATGGGTTTTGTGTGTGCAGGAAGAATCTGAAGAGGTACACAGAACTGGTAGGTCTGATGTTCGGTGACTGCTTAAGAACACGACAACAATCTGCATGAGTTTGAGGACAAAAACAAAGAATTGTGAGTAACATTAGTGCACACAAACTAGGAGTGATGACAGAGATTGTGAGGAACCACTAGTGTATACAAACTAGAAGTAATGAGCCATAGCAACAAGGAGAAATATTAATGTGGGATAGAAAGCTTTTCCAGAAACTGCCAACACACTATCACACTCTCCCAGAGAAAAATACACAAGAAGAGGTGAAACAAAAGCAGAAAGAAGCTGTCAAAGAAGGGAGGAACAGTACTGCAGCCAGCAACAGCATGGATTAGATACAAGAACAGGGCTTTTCCACTTTTAGGGTTTGGGTTGGTTCATCGGAAGATTTGAATTCTGGGATCATTCTAAAAGGTTAAACCCTCTTCATGTTCACGCCTAATCAATCAGACTCATGTTAGCACAACACTTGGAGCCTCAATCAGTCACCAGAGCTGTGAGTGCTGCCTCCTGACACACGAGCACAAAGCCAGCTCTCCTCCCACTGCCACTGGGAAACACTTACTTGAATATTGTCGCAAAAGCCGCGACTCTCCAGCTCCAGCGCCAGCCATAGCGGATGAAACTCCGGAGGCCAGCACGATGTGCAGATTGCTAAGGCCAGAGAGAGGACAGGTTACACAAAAAACTAGAAACTAGTTCATTATTATCAGCTCAGAAGTCTTAATAATCAATAAGCATCAATAAACAACAGTAAGTAAATGTTAACAGACCCTCCAAGTTCTGCAGTTTAATACTGGCACTTGAAAGTTTGAAAGTAGAAGGGTTTTTAAAAGATGTGATAAACAGGAGTGTCAAAAAATTAAAAATGTTGCAGACAATACCACAAAACTAAATACATTCTCTCTTCCAGTGCTTGAGGAGTACGAGTTTAGCTCAGGTGCAGATATACCAGAGAGTCACCAGAGTGTCATCAGAGTGAAGGCAGGCACTGGTACTTTACAGGCTGCTATGTCAGGGGTAAAATCTAATTGAGAGTGATGAAAAATCAGACTTTACATCAGGCAGATTTTTAAATGGGTTTTCTTCCTCTTGATCCAGGTAACCAACACTTTCAAAGTCCAGCAACATTACATCTATAAAATGTCACAAATGTTCTTTGTTGTGCTGCTGTAAAAGAATTTTAAATGGTCTTAAAATAATTCCCATTATTAAGACAAAAGGACCCTGAAGTCTCTTGCCAGCTCACTAAAATTAAGAAGCAAACAGGGCTTTCAAGACATACTAACCAGCCGTTTAACGGAACAGAAAACGTTATCAACTTTTCCTGTAACTAAGGACACTTTCCTCTAAGTTAACTGCAGAATTTGGTTATCAGGGAAGAGCTAGCTCACAGCAGCTGATCAGGCAGGCAGCACACACTTAGGCACAGTAAACACCTCGGTGTTTCTGCCGCAAAGCCCCGAAATCGAGCGCACACCTACACACACACACACACGTGTCCTACAAACACGAGGCCGCACGGCCGCCAGCGGGCTCCGCTGTCACCGCGGGCTCCAAGGGCAACTTCCACAGCCGGAGCCTTCCGAGGGCAGCGGCCCCGGGCGGTGCCCAGCGCTGCCCGCGCACCTCCCGGGCCGTACCACGGCATCGGCGCGGTTCTGGAACAGCTCCCCGTGGCTGCGCTCGATGAAGGCCTTGCGGGCGCTGGCGAAGGCGGGCAGCCCGCCGTACAGCCAGCCCACCACGCCCGCCGTGAACGCCGCCTTGAAGAGGTTCACCGTCTCCTCCGGGAGCCGCTGCAGCTCGCTGCAAGGGAAGGGCCGGGCTGGGGGCAGGCACGGCGGGAGCGCCGCAGCCCCGGCCCCCGCCCCGGCCCAGCCCGGCCCAGCCCAGCCCGCCCCATCCCGGCGCTCACTCCCGCTGCCAGAGCTCGCGGAGCCGCTCCCAGCCGGTCTGCGGAGGCGGGACGGGCCGGCCGAAGCTCGGCCGAGCGCCGGCACCCTCCGCCATCGCCGCGCCGGCGGCACCGCCGGGGAGCGGCAGCGCCCCCTGCGCCCCGGCGGGGAACGGCACGGGCCGGAGCGGCTCGGCTGGGCTCGGCTCGGCTCGGCTGGGCTCGGCTCGGCTCGGCCCGGCTGGGCTCGGCTCGGCTCGGCTCGGCTCAGCTCGGCTCGGCTCGGCTCGGCTGGCCTGGGCTCGGCTGGGCTGGGCTGGGCTGGGCTCGGCTCGGCTGGGCTGGGCTTGGGCTCGGCTCGGCTCGGCTCGCTTGGGAACAGCCCAGAGCCGCGCTGTCCCTCCGGGAGAACCCGCGGGGAGGGTCCCGGCTTCCCCGCAGCCACAGCCGAGGGTCAGCGCTGGTTTGGCGAAAGTCCCAAACCAGCTCGGACTGCGGGTGACCAAGGGGAAGTTTCCAGCCACTGCAACCCGAGGCCGGAGGCGGAGGTGCCCTAAACGTGGCAGAGAAAGGACAGAGACACGCTTCTCTGTCTCTGGCGGTACAGCTAGGGGCTCTCCAGAGCATCCAACAAAATTTCGTTTTCGTTTGTTTTATTCCAAAATGCACTTCATTACAAATGGTTTAAAAATATCGTACAGAACTGTTTCGGTTTCTCAGAGTGCTGTCTCTCTGTTGACTAAAAATAGAAAACCAGAAAAACCCTTTCCACTCTCAGTTCTTTTCCTCAGAAACCAGGCTATTTAATGGCCCAATCTATTTTCTTTGCAGGCTGGGTTAACCCGGGCATTGGTCCTGTAACCAAGATGCTGCTGCAGCAGCAGGCACTTGACCAATAGGTCCAGCAGTTATGTCCCTGTACCAGGGCTTGGCAGTGCTGTGAGCACACAATGTGCACAGGTCCACTCAGTGTTATACTCCATGTATTTTCATTCGTCCCTGATCCTGACTGCAGAGGAGACTGAGCAGTTGCTATCCTTATTATATTATATCCTTATTATTAAATCTCCATTATACGGTGCTGCTCCCTCAGCCTTGAGGTTGCTTTACAATCAAGGGTGCTTGAGCCCATGTTCTCCCACCTGGGTGCCAGAGAAGATGCTGCTCCCCACCAGGCCTCTCCCCTCAGGGCACACAGAGCATTTCAAGAATTGCACTCCCTCTGGGCTGAGCAGCCTGTTGTGGACACAAACACAGCAGGCACAAGCAACCTGTGACTGAACTCAAACTGAGCAGTGTGAGGAGTAGCTGCCACTGTGTGACTGAAGACATTCCTTCAACCCAGCTGAAGGAGATGTTCCACAAGCAGTGGAACAGCTGTGGGGAAGAAAAGTGAGCACTGAAGCGAGCAGATGAGTTACCAGCCTGGAAAAAAAATCAATTAAAAAAAAAAAAAAAGCCCAAAATAAGCCTGGAAAAATTACAGAGGGGGATCTGAGCAGATTCTGAACTTCTGGAAGAAAGAAGCACTGAATCTACCTCTGGCAGTACTTTCTCTGGGTACCTAAGGGTCCCAGGATGTCTGGCCAGCCAGCTGGTGAGAGCTAATTAACAGGGGCTCAGTTCTGCAGGGCCCTGCAGGCACCCAGCTCATCTGTTGGAGGACCAATCATCCCTATCTCAGCTGCCAACCACATCACTGTCTGCTACTCATCCTGAGTGCCGTGGCCACATCACCATCACCTGCTGCTCCACTATAAGGTACGTAGTTTAACTCTGCAGGGATCATTTGTCCTTTCGGTGGCATGGCAAAGCCTTACCATCAGCTTCTAGAACCCAACATACACAAAAGCTCTAAACTATCCAAAAAGGTTACCTGCAAAGCCCCAGTACCTGCTTCTGTCAGAGGCCTTGGTAACAAGTCCAGTAAAATTAACAGCAAGTCTTCTCACTGACTGAATGGGATTTAGGTGCATTCCAAGAGAGGTAGTAGCTAAGTCCTAAATGCTAACAACCCCTCCTCCAGCCATGACTGACCACCCCAGCAAAAAGCCATAATCCAACATTCTAGTTAACATGCTTATGGTGACAGTATAACCAGGTCCCACTGCTTGAGAGCAATGTCAACATCATCCTACCCCTCTTCTCTGTAGCTCTAGTGTAAAAGAGAAGTCTGAGAGAGCAAGAATTTAACACTGATCTTCTGATTTCCACAGCGATCAGTTCGAGCTGAAGAGAAAAACAGAGAAGTCTCTATAGTTCTGTTTTCAGCCATTCAGGAGTGATCTGGCTGTAGTTCTTCCTCCTTTTCACTTTGTAAGTCAAGGCCTGGGAATATTCAGACAGCAGATGCTCCCAGTAGCAAAAGATGTCCTCCATCTGCAAGTGCTCTGTGATGAACTGGCGTCCCCTAGAGACACACAAGGCGCACAGTCAGGACTGTTTTCCAGTTCCTACAGGAGTCATTGGTTTTGGTTTGGATGTATATCAACTTTCACTCTTCGCGTTTCAAATGAGAAACAACGTGAACTGCTCTGTACTGTCTATTTTAATTCCATGATTTTCATTCACGCTCACAGGTCTGACGGCTGCAGTGCTTTTGTTATCCTCAAGATGGTATTTGTTGTCTGGGATAATAAATATCAGATTTCACTTATCAGATGCAGCCCGAGCAGCACTGATTCATGCTGCTTCAGAAGGCAGTCCCTGCCAGCCTGGATAGATAATGCTTACAGTGCAGACACAGCTCCAAGGAGTCAGCTCACCTCATACTGAGACAAAAGCTCCCAACCTCTGACAGCTTTCCGTGGGGTTCCTGACACAGGTCACATCTGAACCAAAGACCCTAAGCACAGAATTTTGTTCTTCGGTTCCACCGGCTCGTTACAAGTGCTCCAGCCCTCCTGCTGTTATTGCAGAAGATCAGTTATGCTGCACCCCACTAATACTAACATTGCCTTTGATAGGCAACCCCTTCAAAAGCTGTGTAAGAAAATGCTTTGGAAGAAGACAGCCTGATAGCCAGGAAGGACACACAACTTACCTCTCTGAAATTTCTTGTGCTACAGCATCATTTTCCTTTACAAACTGCAACAGCTCTCTAAAACGAAGACAAAGAAAAAGCTATAAAACAACTGTCTCAGTGGAGAACATTGTCCTGTAGCTAAACTGTTGGGGAGGATAAGGTTAAGACTACAACTGAGTGAGGGTGCTGCTCACCTGAGAGCACAGAAGAAACTTGCCCTGCTCGACTATTCTACACCAGCTCTAGACAGCACGCTGAAATCTGGGAGCTAACTTATTTTTGGCCCACTGGTAAGTTCCTCTTCCCCTTCAGCTCTGCTGCAGGGCCCACCTGCGTGGCTGCTGATTTCAGTGAGAGCGACAGACTTACACACTCCCACGAGACTGCACCCCCAAGTAATATGTGCAAAGGATTCTTTGGGGGTAGTGATGAAGAGATAAGAATGTGACCTCCAAGAGCACGCTGCCTGATGCCTCGGGGTGGAGGCACTTCTTAGCGTACCACAGACCGAACCACCTTCCCAAACGCCTTCCTGTGGCAGGAAACGCTCTCTGATGTCTCACACCTGACGTCAGAGAGGTCTGGTCGCACCGGGATGTAGTGGACCCAGGGCTTCAGCTGGGGATAGAAGAACTCCAGCCACTCTTCTCCAACATGAAAGACGAGTGAACCGCACAAGAAAAGGTGTTTCAAGCGGAAACTGGCCGCCACTCCACGGAAGTTGAACAGGTACCTTTAAAAAGCAAAGAGAGGGACCTGATTACACCTGGAAATTTGTGAGGAAATGCACTAAGACAGCCGTGTGTGAGTAGCAGTGAACCTTCCCTCACAGGGAGGTAGCAGCTGGAGAGCCTCCCTCACACAGATTGCTGAAACAAAGGGAAGGCATTTATTTGAGGCTCCTCACAGGAAAGGTGAGCTGAAATTAGGGATGTGCTGTGTGAGTTTCTGCTGTCTGTCAAAACTGAGGGAGAAAATCAAGGAGTGAGACTTCACCTCTGATAAAGGCAGCTGCCTGCAACAAAACCGAAGGAGGCCTCACGGACAGCTGCCAACGAGGCATGGAAGGTCACAAGGTGGATGCTGATCCTGTGACTCTATATTCCAGAGACTCTGTTACCACAAGGAAATTTTTCCCAATTCTCTCTTGCCTTGCACTGAGCTTTTCTGTTCATTGTTCTGCTTTGCCACATCTATTTCAGGTTATTTTTTCCTCTGGGATTCTGCTTTAATCTGAGTGTAATTGTTCCATATTAACTTGGGAATGCAACCCTAGGAGGTTAAATAGGCTAGCACACAACAGATGGACTTTGCAGATAACAAAGAATCCACAATTTTGTTTTCAGTATTTTCTGCCAAGTTAGTAAAGTGGGCTTGACTGTGGCAGGGGGGTATTTCTCTCAGCAAACTGTATCTCAGAGGGATGTTTGTTTGCTTACTTGTTTTCTTTTTCAAACCCACATTTCTCCAATTATATAGAAAGCTGTTTTTCCTACGGGTAAAACCGCTCAGTGCACATAACTAATCTTTGAAGTCAAACATTTTGGTCCGGGGGAAGAGAGTTCTTCCTTTAATGAAGCTATTTTGGGTGAGATGTAGACTATATATTATATATATATGTTGGGCAGGATGGGAATTACAGCTAAACTTAGTTCAGCAGTAAATGACAAAGAGTAAATCTGAAATTCCTCTGCATCCTTTGTATTACCTAGGAGCTCAAGGCAGGGACAAGCAGCTCGTACTACTAGGAACTCAACAAATACATGTGGATATATAACAAGAGCAGTGATGTGGAAGGGTGGAAATGCCTCTGTCCAGTTCCAGACACAGCTCCTGTGACAGGAACCTGTGACCTCAGCCAAGCCACTGAGTGCTGCTCTCAGCCAGCCTGCTATGGCACTGAAGGAAGCAGACAGAAGTTCCTGCTGGCCCTACCAGACTCTGGTCTACAACAAAAGAGTGTGAGAATGCCTCAGCCTGAGGAGCATTAGAGTTGGGCAGTGCATGTGTAACAGAAGGGAGAAATCTGGGCAACAGTCTAGTGAAATACAAAATGAGACAAGTCAATCACATTTGCACAAAAACACAGACCCAGCCAAGTGAC